ATCTCAAAAAAAAAAAAAAACAACCTGCAGTAAATGATTTTCCACAGAACAACCTGGCTCTGATACCAAATGTAGAACTCTAACTAACAGAGAAGCCAAAAGTTGAAAAGGAAAAGAAGAACAGAAAGAGAGACGTTTTGCAGAGAAGTGGTTCTTTTTATTCAATACGTTTTGTGCCTTATATAGGCTTACATATTATGGAATCATATTCCCACTAAACCACTAATTTAATTCCACTAAACAAATACTCCTAAACTTTAGGAACACATCTGCAACACTGCAAAACAGGGAAAAACTATCACTAACTAAGTACCAACAGAAAGCTAAAATATAGCTATACTGCAGAACTAGTCAAACTAAAAAAATAGGGGCTGATGTTGAACAACTTTAACAACACTATGACATGCTATAAATGTATTCTTGTGGGCAGTGGAAACACCGGTGAAGGGTGTAGTTTCTATTGATTGATATACTTGCCATATTCTTCCTTTAGGGGTCTGTTTAGGTTGGCTCAATATTTTTTGTGCATTACAAATGTGAGGTACACATGGTTGGCCCCAAGATTGAAAAAAAGTTTAGGGTTGTGGTAGGTGCATGACCAGTGCTAAAATAGTTATGAGGGATCCTCTAAATATTGAACACTGTATAAGATATGTATAGCTGGCCTAATTGGTTTGGGATTGATTGGATTCGTAATGGTGTAACTTCAAAAAGCCAATATTTTGGCTGTGTAGAAATTGATGAGCATGCCAATTTCTAAACATGTCTTGGATCTTGTGCCAGGGATCAGAATTTTAATATTTAAGCTGCCTTATATGATTCTGTTTGTTTTCTTTGCTTATGTGTTTCCATATGCTATTGTTTTGATGTTTCTTTCTATCCCGTGGATGCAGTGGGCATTGATGACACTTCTTGATCCCATTTATAGTGTGGAGAATCTTATATATATTGGATATGCTGGTGATCCTTCGTCTTCTATTCGTGTAACTCGAAGAAGACGTTTAGATCGCAAGAAGCAACAATCAGATAGAAATGTCTATCAGTGTTTTGTTTTTGGGCCAAAAGAGGCTGGAAAATCAGCCATTCTGAATTCATTTATTGGAAGGTTTCTCTTCTGAAGCTGTTGCACATCAAACTCGCTTTCCTCAACTTTAATTGAGAAAGATTTTTTTTTGATGGTCCATTTTTTGTTGTACCTATCTGATTTGTGTTTCCTGTAATTTGTGATGCAGGCCGTTCCCAGAAGAGTACCAATCAACTACTGGCAATCAATATGCGGTAAATGTTGTTGATCTAGGGGTAAGAGATCTTATTATTTTGGTTCGTTCTCAAATTTTTTTCAAAAAAGCTTTCTCAAAAAGATCTTATTATTTTGGTTGGTTTAAAGACAAAGTTACAGATAGATAGATATTGTCACTAGTTAAAAGAATGGGAAAAGAGAAGATTGAGTTACTGATTGAAAGAGCATAACAATCCTTTGATTTTACATTATGTATATTCAGATATCTGGTACATACCTGTGTGGTACTTCTCTTCTTGGTTAATGTTGAAAATGAAAAACTGGTTGCAAGAATAACATTCCTGCTCTATGCTTACTCCGGTGCTATGAACACGATATTATACCATAATGCTGTGTCTTTTGATTATGGTTCCATTGGTCGTAATCATGTGCATGACCAAGTATGGAAAAGTAAAAGAATGAGAAGTTAAATGAAACATGTCAAGAAGTTAACTTTTACAATTTGTTAACAATGAGTTGCTTATAACTGGCGACTGGTCCAAGAGATGGTTGTTCATATAGATTTGGCATAAGAAATTCTCAGCTTCACTGATATTCTTGGAGCATTAAGTCATTGAGTGTTTAGAGCTCTGAGAAAGATAGGTTATGTAAATGCACAAGATTGCTCGGACAACACTGTTTTCAAAAAAAGGTGATAGGTAGTGCAAATACAATGTGCTATGAACATGGTATTACACCATAATGTTGCATCTTTTGATTATAGTTCTATTGGTTCTAATCACGTGCATGGCTGAGTATGGATACGCAAAAGAATGTGAAGTTAAAAGAAACATGGTGAGAAGTTACCTTTTGCAATTCGTCGACAATGAGTTGCCTAGAACTGACTATTGGTCCAAGAGATAGTTGTTCAAATAGATTTTTCATAAGAAATTCTCAGCTTCACTGATCTTCTTGGAGCATTAAGTCATTGTGTTTAGAGCTCTGATAATGATAGTAGGGGTGTGTATGGGTCGGTTCGGTTTGAAGTATTATCAGTTTGGTTTATCGGTTTTCGGTTTTTGAATATGCTAAACCGATAGACAAATCAATAAGATATTTGTTATCGGTTTTTGATTTATCGGTTTTAGGTCTTTAACGGTTCGGTTTTCGATTTAACCATTAAGAAAATGATTTCAAAACAAATATATGACTTATCCAATAATTTGACGTGATACGCATGTATCGAAATAATCATCACAAACGGGACAACAGGGACCAACATGTTGTATTTTGGTCATCACAACAAAGTTTTGGTCAATTTTCGATCACCATAATATATAATACGAGGTCCCCTTTATGCAATAAAGAGAATCAAATAAAACCAAATCATAGACAAAAGTCAAAACAGTAGCAAATGAGGTCATGCTTATGGTAAATCATATATAAAGAAATGACCCAACTAAATGAAGTTCTTACTTTATTTTTATTTTTTTTAAAACACAATATGAATTTCGTTAATCAAATTGCACATATTTACAATTATGCAAAAACTAATATTAGTCAATTATAAACTAACTAAAGTAAA